AAAGATCCTTTTCCATTCTGTGAGCTGTCTCTTCACTTTGGGAATTGTTTTCTTGGCTGTAGAGAAGCTTTTTAATTTCATGTAGTCCTGTATGTCAACTCTTGGGCTTATTTCCCATGCTGTTGGCATCCTTTCCAAAACAAAAAACAAAAAAACAAAAAACAAAAAAAAAACCTATTTCTGTATCTTCAAGTGTTTTGCCCGTTTTCCTCTAACAGTTTCTATTTTAGGGCTTACATTAGGGTATTTTATCCCTAATTCTTTTGTTCTCCTTATTCTACCATCATATGTTATTTGGGGTTAAGTTTTTTATTTTTACTACTACAATCTTTAGTCCTTTTAAATAGTCTAATACTGTGTTTTAATGATTTTAGTGGTTATTCTAGACCAGTGGTTATTCTAGACCAATTTTCATTGCTACTTCCTAACTTTAATTTTTCTACTGCAATGGATCATGATGTAAATATTAGTGTTTTCTAATGGTTCTAGGTGACCCCTATGAAAGGGTCATTCAACCCCCAAAAGGATTGTGACCCACAGATTGAGAAACACTATTTTAGATCATTGGTTCTTAGACATGGTTGATTTTGCCACCCCATATGGCTTCTGGCAATATCTGTAGATACTTTTTGTACTCTTATGGGGTGGTACTATTGGCATCTACTAAAAAGAGGTTAGGGACACTTCTAGCTACTCAGAGAAAAGACATAAGAACAAAGAATTATTCTCTACCAAAGCTAATAGTGATACTGTTGAGAAACCCTGATTTAGAAATTATGATTCTTATCTTCAGTTCCTCTTAAATTCATACCTCCCCATTTCATAAATAAAAAACAATAAAGGTCCCATTATCTGCTTCTGTCCAGTGTCCTATTCATTTTTACACATAAGTCCAGAGTCATTGCTATAGTTACTTCAAATGATAGAGCAAACATCATTTACAGGTGCCTACATACTTGTCTTTCCGGTGCTCTTCAACGCCTCCTATAATCCTATCCTGCCAATAGTGTCATTTTTCTTCAGCCTAAAGCAGTGTTTTTGTTGACAGTTCTTTTGCTCAACTTTTTCATTTCCAAAGGATTTGGGGTTCCACAGCTCCTAGCAGAATGACACACTTGTCAGTTTCTCACAATGCAAATATACAACTGACCATTTTTGATATTTGTTTTTACCTCACTTGGGTTTCTAATTAAAGAGGAAGATATGAAACTCCCAGTCAAACCATAACTAAGTGCAATGAACTTCTTTTTATTCTGTTTGAAATTAAAATAATTCAGGCATGAAGTTCCGTGTGTCCCCCCCCCCCCCCATTGGAGAACAGTAATAGCTGCTTACAGAATTTTAAAAACTAATAGGAGAGATGTTTCTTGCTTTGATAAAAGTTTATACATGTTCAACAAACATCACATGGTTTGTGTGTAGAGGCCAGAGACACATGTGGGAGTCATTTCTTTCCTTTTGTCATGGGTCCTAGGAATTAATGTCAAGCCTTCAGTATTTATCCTTAATCCCTTGAAGTATCTCATCAGCCTTTACCATATTTTCTTTATCTATGTCACTTAGTATCTACCTCACTTGATTTCATCTCTTAGCTCTTGTGAACGATGCCACAGTGAACACCACAGTCTTTTCCACATTTTAATCGATATCCCACTTTATATCTATTTTATATCTGCCTCTTAATATAATTCTGTAATTATTAGTTTAGTTTTTTGGCTTTTTATTCATCATCTTAAAACTATGACTGATTTATGCACCATGCTCATAATAGTAAAGCATCCCAATTTGGATATTCACTCCTACCAGAGATCTTTATTACTTCCCATGCTTTCTTACATATTAGTATCTCTCAGTTTGAAGATTTTCTTGTAGAACAGACATGGTGGGCAGACATTAGTGCAGCCATTGTCTGAGACCATTCTTATCTCTCCTTCACTTCTAGAAGAGCATTGTTGATTATTTGGATGTTTTTTTCTCCAGCATTGTGAAGACTTGATTTACTTCTAATTGCTTGTAAGGTTTCTGATAAGAATTTTGTTGCCAAGTGAATAAAGACACAGTCATAGGAACTGGGAAGATAAAAAGTGCTTGCTCTAGTGAGATTATGAATATAAAGAATGCTGTTCTGCTGAGCTTTGATGCTGCAGATAATGCTGATAAAATTATCCATGGCTTGAAGTCAGTATTTCAATTTTGGTCAAACCTCAAGAATGGCATATATAGCTTGATCAGGCTAGCCCTTTTTGTCCTGGGAATACTTTTATTCCTGCCCATCATGTTAAAGCTTGTCTTTAACAACATCAACATTTTGGGAGCCAAAGTACATGACTTGAAACTGAAAACAGACCCCAGACAGAGTTATTAATTTAACAAGCTGGCAAGCCAAGGATGGGAAAGATTCTACACAGAGCCTTACCAACCTAAGACAAGAAGTGCATTTCTTTTGATAATGTATATTCCACGACATGGAAGGAATGTATTCTTGCCAGAGTGACCTAAGACAGGCTCAGTCTTGTTTATACAATAAAAAAGGGGGAGATGCGGAGAGCTTTTGGAGCTGATTGACAGGAATCTGACATTGGCCAAGGACAAGAAAATGGACTGCTTGGAAGGAATCTGACATTGACCAAGGACAAAGAAATGGACTGCAGGCAGGAATCTGACATTAGGCTAGAACAAAAAAGTAATTTCAGGCAGGAATCTAAATCCTAGGCTACAACAAAGAAGTAATTTCAGGCAGGAATCTAAAGCTTAGGCTAGAACAAAGAAGTAGGCTTCAGGCATGAAAATGACTTTGGGCTAGGACAGGGAAGTAGGCTCAGATATTTTGGTCATCTTGATAAGCCCCTAGAAATAGTGATCATGGGAGTGATCACACTACCCTGTTTATTGTCCTGCTTGTTCTTTGACTATGTGGGTTTATTGTCTTGCTTGTTCCTTGACTATTTGCATCTATTGTATTGCTAGTTCCTCAACCTAGAACTGACATTAATACTTGCATGTAATTAAAATGGTATAAAAGCAAAAAGGAGGAGGAATGGGATAGGGGGTTCATGGGGGTTGGGGGTGGGGAAAGAGGATAACATCTGAAATGTAAATAAATAAAATATCTAATAAAAAAAGTGTTTGCTCTGCAAGCCTGATAGTAGGCACCAGGGCTCCTAGAACCTATGGCTGCAGTAGTACAGCTGTCTCTCTACAACATGGTATGCAGAGACAGGATAGTCTGCAGAAGTACACAGGCCACCTATCCTGAAACAAGAGGGAAAGATAAGGACCCACTCTGAAAAGTTGTCCTTTGACCTCTACATGAATGTCATGGCACAGAGGCTCACATTTGCATTCAAAAGGATGCTTCTATATGTTTATTAAAGCCCACTTTTGAGATGTTTCCTATGAGAATATTTCCAGAGACAATTAGTATGTCAAACAACTAAGAGAGGACAACCAACTTTAAAAATGGGACCATCAACAATGTGAAGAGCTTGGGTTGAACAAATGCTAGAGGAGGAAGTCTGCCAGAGCGAGGATTCTGTCGGCTTCCTGTCCACTATGAAGTGAATAGCTTTGCTCCATTACCTGAATCCCATCATCTGCTTTACATAGGGTCCAAAAGCAACAGAACCAGCTAACCATGGAATAAAAACTAAATTATGAGGATCTATAAATCTTTCTTTATTTAAACTGTTTATCTCAGGTATTTGTTGTTATGGAAACAAAAGGTTTAGCTTAATACAGTTCTTCCTTCTTGGTAGTTTCAGTTTTCATGGTCGCAGTTATTAGCAGTCAACAATGTCCAAAAATATTAGATGGAAAATCCTGGAAATAAGTGACTCATATATTTAAACTATATCCTCTTCTGCCTACTGTGATGAGATCTCATGACATTCTACTGAATAGAATCCATTCCATTCTGTCCACATCACCCAAGGGATGTGAATTAATCCTTTGTCTAGGATATCCACATTATATTTGCTACCCATCAGCTATTCATTTAGTAGTCATCTCAGCTACCAGCTTGTCACACTACCCATGCTTAAGTAAGCTTTACCTTATATAATAATGGCTCCAAAGTACAGTCCATAAACTATGGAGGCACATGTGAATGTTGTTAGTATATGGCAATGGGTTCAGGATATACAGGAGAAAACAAAATCAAAATCAAAATCAAAATCAAAATAAGGGATTGGTACCATCCAGTGACTATTTTACTAAAATAAATATTGTACACAAAAGATATTAGTTCTTGGGGCAACAAATATATTTCCTAGTCTTTTAATGGCAAAACTGGGTATGTATATAGAGATTTCTTTGAGAAAAGTTCTAATCTGTAGCATAGGCTACCCTGTAACTCACTACATAGTTCAAGCTTCGTGTTGTCTGGTCCTGAGTCTATACACCACTTATCTGGATCAGATTTTTTAAATTTAAACTTTAGGCAGTACTGAGGATTGAACCTAGGACCTCATGCATGTTCAACAAGTATAATACTCCTGAGTTATCTCCAGCTGTAGAGACTGGTGGTTTGAATGAGATTAGCCACTACAGGTTCATATGTTTGAATACCTATTTGGAAAGGATTATGAGGTATGGCCTTATTAGAGGATGTGCTTCACTGGGGGTAGGCTTTGAGGTTTCAAAAAGACTCACTCCAGCCAAAGTGTGCTTCTTTGCTTCCTGTTTATGAATTAGGATGGGAGATCTCAGCTACTTCTTCAGTGCCAAACTTGCCTGCCTGCTGTCATGATCCCGGCCATAATGGTGAGGGACTTGTATCTTTCTACAAATGTAGCCACTAACAGATAATTTCCTTCTACTGGTCACCTTGCTTATGGTGCTTACAATAATAGAAAAGTAACTAATAAAGAGATTTTAATTTAGTGGCTTGGGCTCACCTATGAGAAGCAAAAGAGAAATACAGTGGCTTTGGGTTTTCAGCAGCAACGACAGACCACACAACACTCACACTAGTTAGTGAAATGATTCCCTTTCCAAATCTATTTCATTCAAAGTTACTTTTATTTTTAAAAATTCACACATTAAAATTCATTCTTTTGGTGCATAATTCTCTGAGTTTTAACAAACATACACATTGTAACTATAAATAACACACAGAAAGTTCCTATTATTAAAAAAAATCCCTTGTGCCAATACTTGGTGTCTAGTGCTTTTTCTGCCTTATTGTTTCATCCTTTCCAGAAAACACAGAAATGAAATATAACAGTAAGCAGCCGTTTGAGTCTGGCTTCTTCTACTTAGCAAAATATATTTAAGATTTATCCAAGTTGTTGCATATATGGTACCTTAGTTTTTTATTGCTGAGTAGAATTTTGTTGTCTGGTTACACCAGTTTCTATATCTCTGCACCAGTTGAAAGGTATCCTCTACTAGATTTTCTCCATTTTTAAGTGGTCTGCAGGTCTAGTAAGGAGGAGGTAAGGTTTCCCACCTGAGAGGAAGCAGTCCCTTCTGAGAAACCTGGCTGAGAAGTGTATTCCAGGGTAACATGTGCAAGAAGCTGTAACCAGGATCCTTCACTTCTCATCCCTTAAACTCTATGAAAAATTGGAGCATTAACCATGTGAGCAATATAGCAAATGAATAGAAGTTTGTCCTGAGTAAAGTCAGAAATCCTCAGAGGAGGTCTGACGAATATTTTGGAAGCCAAGTGTTTGTAAGAATATTTAAAAATTACTTTAATTAAAAACTAGTGAAAAAGGTAAAAATTACTCCAAATCATACCACCTAAAAATGTTTACAAGGTGGAGGTGTTTTTTTTTTTAGCTTGTACAGAGCCACTTGCAGAAGGTAAGCCTGTTATATACATTTCCTATTTCATTCCTATATTTGTTTTTATATTATCTCTACAAACTATACACATGAACTATTTACTTAAAAATATGTTACATATATCTTATACATACATACATACATACATACATACATGTATCTTAGTTTATAACAATATAAAATCTTGGATATGGGTACAGGTTACAATATATTCATAGATCTAGTCTACTGTTTCAATGGCTTCAGATACCCTACTAAATGGATGTGCCATAAGTTATAAGTCACTCATGTTGACAGGTGGACATTCGGATAATGTCCAAGTTCCTATGTTTTTGAGTTTCACTGAGATTTAACTCACATACCACGACATTCACCTACTTTATATATTCATCATTATACAAACATTGATGAAATTTATGAACATTTTCATCCACTTGCAAAGAAGCCCTATACACTCTAGTTTTCCCTGCCTACCATTTATCACTACATATATATGTATTTTTTAAAACCAACTCTGTATTTGACATATATATGGAATTGTACAATTTGTCATCATCAGTGACTGGTTTCTTTCCCTGAACATACTCTCAGGGTACTCCCATGTTATAGTACTATATCTCAGAAGTATTCCCTATTTTTTTAATAAACGGCTTGTGAAGAAATTGGATTACTGTTTTATTAAACATTTAGTAGAATTCTAGAATTCAAATCAAAAGCAACGTAAGCATCGGTATTGTTGTGGCTTATCTGCCTTGTTACTTATTTAGCCTATTTGTTATGAGGTCTATTCTGGTTTCCTATATTTGGTTCTTGGTACTTTATCTTTTTAGGAATTTGTTCATTTTTAGTAGGTTAATTTATTGACACATGAGTATAATAGTATTCCTTCATACACCTTTTATTTTTCATAGGCCAGTAGCAATATTCCCTCCTTTATTTCTCCTAATGATTACATTCTACCTTTTACTGCTATAAAGGTTTGCCAATTTCTTACTTAGACTCATTGTATTTTCTCTATTGTATTCTACTCTAATGCATTTTGCATGTTTTCCCATTTTTGTTTGTTCTAGGTATCGTTTGCTATTATTTTCCTATGGCTTAAGATATAAACTGAATTATTGTTACATAATCTTTCTTCACATTTAACAGGCTTGTCTCTAAACATGTCCTATATAGACAAAGGTAGCTAGGAACCACCCAGTGTGGATGCTGAGGATCAAACTCAGGTCCTCTGCAAGGGCAGTAAGTACTCTTATGCAGAGCCATTTCTCCAGCTTCTTCTCTGCTTCTTTATTGGCCTACTTGGTATTTAAGTATCACTAATTTTCAGTTATTTATGAGTTTCCCAATTTATTGTTACTGATTTGTAACCTCCTTCCAAGTGGAAGAAAACATGTTTGATATTACGTTAGTCTACCTGTATTTATTAAGGCCTGTTTTGTGGTTCAGCTAATGATCTAGCCTAAAGATATTTCATATACATGGGATGAAAATATATATTCTACTGTAGGGTAGAATGTTCTATGGCTGTCTTTCAGATTTATCTAGCGCTCAGTGTTGAAGCTGGCTACTTCCTTGTATATCATCTGTGTAGCACTACTTGTATTAGGAAGTAGGCACTGAGTATCCACCCAGCTTGGAACATGTCTGTTTCTCCTTCATTCTTTACTTTGTTACCTTGTTTCAGGTTATTTGGGGGCCCTGTAGTTATGAAAATATGTGATTAAAATTTTCATATCTTAAAACACTGACCTTTTAAATTAAAAGTAGATCTTTACCTCTAGTATTTTTGTTTCCTTTTCCTCATGCTTTGGGGTATGACAGTCATGCAGACTTTCTACACATCCCAGGGATAACAGCACAGTATAATTACCAACATAATTCTGTTACTTTTAGGAAGCTGAATTAATTTACAGCCTTGTAAAATGTAGCCACCTTAGTTCCCTTTTGTTTTATTTGTTCCTATGGATTTATACTCTTTTTAAAGAAACTATAGCATTATTTCCTAGCTTTTTGTCCTGTTATTATCAGGTTCTAGGGTCTGAACTCAGATTCTGTTGGTTCCCTCTGAGCCATTTTACTTGAGCTTTTGCAGTATTTTCATGATTCTTTCTCCATTTTTGAATGGAATTATTATTATATATTGCTCCATGTACTTGTGGAGTTCCCTACAGTTCCTTCATTTTTTTCCCCTTGTTCCTTATCTTGGAAAGGTAAGAAGCAATGCTCCTGTATGGATGAGATAAATGAGGCTCAGATTAAGATGTTCTAAGCTCATGGTGGTAAACATGGGTGACTCTGAGGGTCACAGGTCTGACTCCAAAGTTGGTTCTACCGTCTAAACCATATTAGGATCCTATTCTTCAACAACTATGAGCAAATCCCTAGGGAATTTGAGGCAGGCTGCCTTTCTTCTAAAGAATTTTCTTACCTTGTCCCTTTAGTATATAGGCTAGTTCATTCCTCTTGAAAGTTCATATATCTAATATTTAACATATATTAGGCAGGTACTCCATGTTTAATCTATACTGTTTTGAATTCAATAGTATCATAGATTACCAATATTTTGGTTTAAAAGGTGTCATAATAATACATATGTTTTTGAGGACTCTGAAAACCTAGTGTGGAAGCAATCATTAAATAAGTTGATAAAACTTATGAATCTACCTAATGAAACTGTTGAAAGTTCTGCCAAAACACAGTTTGAGTTCTAGTAAATAAATATTTGAGTTTGAGTTCTAGTAAATAAATATTTTAACACTGGGTTAGTTTTAAAACTGTGTATACAGGAAACAGTCCTAGAAAAAGTCTTATCTCTAGGACTAAACACTGAAGACTACAAAATTCTTAAAGAATTTTTGGAATCTTCAGGAATAGTCCTATGCAATATATCCTGAGAACTAAAGGTTTTCACATGGTTTTAATCCTCAGGGAATTATCTGCCATATATAGTGTTTCATTATTATCTTTAACACTCAGGATATTATCAATTTTATATAATATTTTTCAATACTACACAGTATTTAATTATAGAAAATATTTTTATCAATTCTCTCCAAATGCTGAGAGTCATTGTCCTAATTTCTGTCTTTCTTATATTTCCTCTTCAATTTTCAACAAAGTTTTATGAATATACGTATTCTTGAACTAAGATTATGATAAAAGAAAAAGATTATCTGAGTGTGTATTTACATACATACATATATCCAAATGTGCATGTACATGTGTGTAGATATGGATTTCTAGCTGCCATTGATTTCTGTTCTGCCATCTGTAGCAGATGTTAGAAGGGAAGCATGTTGAACAGCTGACTGTTGCTTTTTGCTCTTTGCAAACTCTATCACCAATATTTTCCCATAGAGTTTATATCCATTAATTTGGTGCAGTGCTTGCCATGCTACGTCTTTATCTGGAAAAAAATAAGAAAAATGCATCAAATTATATAGAGCTAATCACTCAATTATATTACAGGTTTAATTTGGATTTGTTTGCTATAAAAATCATACTGATATTTGATGTTTTTGTCTTGCCTGTAATCCCCAATTTGTATGTTAGCAAGATTAAATTAATGAGTAATAATAGTGACAAAAGACCCTCAAAATATATATTTGATTCAAAGATATATTAGATATAAGGACACATAGGGAGTATATTTAAACATATAAGTTAAACCTAACTATAAACAGGCTTTTACCTTAGATATAGATATGAGATGCAAATTTTTCAAAATTGTTACACAAATAAAAGAAGTTAACACACTATTGGACACATTTAGCTACTTTTTTTCTTTTAGAAAGAAAGTAGTTGTGGGACTCTTATGGGGATAATGAACTTTTCTTGCAGGTATATAAAAACATGTGTATGAGAATATATAGTACATAGCAGGAATATTCAACATATGGGTCTCAGAGACTATATGTAAGAAATGAGGGACTAGAGTCTGTGGAATTATAAGTAGAAAGTGCCATTAGACTGAGTTCACTTTGTCTCAGATAGATACCAAATTTTCAAGTGTATACCATAGCTATTAGGATTAGTAAAATAGGTACAAGTAAGAAGTATAAAGCTGGGACTGGGGAGATGGTTCTATAAGTAAAAGGCTTGCTCTGTAAGCATGAGAACTTGAGCTCGGATCCCTGGTATCCATATAAAATTCCAGGTTTGGAAGCACTCATTGGTGATCCTAGCGCTAAGGAGGTAGTTCCTATAGCTCCCTGACCAGCCAGCTGAGCCACATCCATGAGCTCTAAGTTCAGTGAGAAAACTAAGGTGGAAGAGCAGCTGAAGAAGATACTGTAGGTTAGCTTCGAAAGGAGATTTATATATATATATATATACATATACATATACATATACATATACATATACATATATATATATATATATATAGAGAGAGAGAGAGAGACTACATGAAATTTATTTTCAAATTTAATAGGAACTCTTCCTTCAAAAGACTGAAAACCACTGGTACAATGGATCTACAAATCTTCAATCAGATAGAAAAGGCAGTACAAGGTTATATGAAAGCAAGGGGAAGGAGATCAGCAATTCTCATGTGTAAAATCACTTGCTCACATAAAAGTTAGCATAGCATTACAATGACAGTTTAGAAGCAATTGAAGGTATAGATCCTATCTGGCTTCTTCATGCGAAAGACATGCTGGCTAGCTTACAACTAAGATCAAAATTACTGTAATTTTCTTGCACTTAGATTAGGGCACAAGCCATGCACTGACATGCAAGTGATATGTGGAAGAATGCATTATCTTCCAATAATTATGAATTGACAATGAGTTAATTAATTAGCTTAAAATCACTTAGTCCTAAAGAAATTGGGCATGAGACAAAGATATGTCTTCTTATCACAATACCAACACACTAACTGTGAATAATTTTATTGTAATACAGAGTAAAAGTAGAACTATCAAGCAAAAGAAAGAAATATTGTTAGGGTAGGAAGGAAATGTCAAAAATGGGAAAACTGAGGACACCAGGGTAAGGTGGTTGTGTAGCATCCATAGGAAAGAGGAAGCAAGCATAGGAAGGAGGACCAAGGAATACTGGAAATATGCTTTCATTACTGGCCCCTTCCATGTGCAAAGGCTCTGATTAATTTGGTGAGATAACAGGTAGTTTCTCATGTACTGATGCTACAAGAGAGTGACTACCTATATGAAGTTACTTACTGGGAAAGGTGATGAAAGCCTGTCCCCTCATGCGTCCAGTCATCATTTGGAACTGAATGGGTGGTCCTTTTTTCTCCTGGAATCGAGCGAATAATGAGATAAGGTCTCTTTCTTTCACCCGAGGACTAAGGTTCTTCAGATATAGCACCTAATACAAATTGAGAAGTGACAAAAATAATCACATGAGGAAAGCAACCCTTTATTATGGCTTGAATTACTTTAAGATAAAGATGGAAGATTGAATAGTCAGCTAATGCTATTGTCTCCAGAAAACTCTAAAGCTACAAGGCCAAAATCCAACAAGGTTAGAAAGAACCGAGAAAGAAGGCAATATCAACAGTATTCTGGAAGATACAAAAATCAATGGATGAGTAGGAACTAAGTACACCAAAGACAACTCAATAGCAAATCCATAGGATGGGAAATCCAAGAACATATGCAATCTTCTTTTAAAATCTTCATAAATCAGGAGTGAGCTAGGGAGGTAGCTCTGTGGATAAAAGTACTTGCTGCACAAACTTGAAAGCTTGATTTTAAATTGCTGTTAGCCCATGTAAAAAGCTAGGTGGATCCCCAGAGTTTGCTGGCTAGCCAGTCAAGCCAGTTGATGATTTCTGAACTCAGTGAGAGCCTATCTCAAAAAGTAAAAGGCAAAGAGTAATAGAGAACGACTCATGACATTGACCTCTGACCTTTATGAACACACACACACACACACTAAACAAATAAGTAAATAAAAATTCAGAAGTCGGCACAGTGGTGAAAGCCTGCAATTCTACCAACTAGGAATGCTAAGTTGGGATAAGAGACCAGGTCTGGGCAACATAGTGATATCTTGTCTAAAAATTTAATAAATATATAAAATACAAAAAATACGAAAAAAAGAATGCATCCACAAACAGTTCAAGAATTGATAGCTTTGGGGGGGTGCCTCCGGAAGTAGATGTGATTAGATAATGCTGGAATGAGGATGGTAAATTGAAGGCAACTGCAAAATGAATTAGATTATTAAGCCCTCTGCAATTATAGTACTGGGTGAGGGCACCTCACCAATCCTGGTAGAATATGAAGGTTAACTGTCAGAAAACGTGGAATGTCTTATATAGCTGAGGTCAAGAGTAGTGTTTTTGAAAACAAGGAGAGTGAAAGAATACATATTAAATATTGAGAACATGCATGCTCTGACTACCATTCCTGCACTAGAACCCTGGTTGTTTCTTTGTAAGAAAGCATAGGGGCAGTCTGCTCTAGGGGCACTAAGCCCCATGAAAGACAAACATACTGATTTGGAGTAGAGAAGTCCTCCAACAAATGATCTAGCCAGATCATCTGGTTCCTTGTTTTTACTGTTTTCCTATTGTCATTCGGAGATAGAGTCTCACTATATACCCCAGGCTGGCCTAGAACTCACAATCCCCCTGCCTTAGCTTCCTAAATGCTGGGATTATAAAACATCATCTTGGATTCAAAGTACATAAAGATCCCAATTTCAGGGCTTCAGAACAACTTTGCATTCCTTACTCAGAAATAAGAACAGGGATAATCAGGCACAGGAGAAAGGCTTCTAATGTGAAAGAGATAAGACAGAGGCAAAAAGGCAAATGAGAGAAAACAGACCATGAAGAAAACAATTAAAAAACAACAAAAACCAACCTGCAACTAATACTCTTTGGAAAATACTCTATCAATTAGTAATAGAATGCTATTGAAATTTTAATAGAACAAAATAATATCGTATGTTTTATGTTATATAACTTACATATCATCAGCTCAAAACATCACTTTATTTATAGTAATCACAAAGAAAACACATAGAGGAAAATGAAAAATAAGGAAATGTCCACTGACAAGTGGATAAAGAAAAGATAGCATATACATAGACTAGAATATTAATCTTTAAAAGGAAAAATCCTATGGTGAATGAGATTTTCTGGAAAGAAACCATGTGTTACGTTGAACCCTGTGAAAGGCTGAAAACTAATTAGAACTTTAATAACTGTGGAAAGTTCAGGATAACACAGCTTGGGGCCTAATTATAATTAATTACCTTGGGCTATCTTTAGCCACCCCAAATATCCATTCCTTGCCCACCACTGTCTGACCCAACACACTTGTGGTTAACAAGTGAAATCTTTGAGATGTATTAACAGATCGCTAGCTTCTACCCATGAAATGTCATCAGACAGCATATGAAGCCTAGAGCAGAAATATCTTCAATTTGCTGTAATCCACCAGTGTACAAAATTATCTTGATTTATGATTTTTCTTTGTTTTTCTGTTATTTCATGAAATTGTTACCATGGTGCAACATGGATTGTGGAGTAACCCAAATCTGTGTTACCAGGCCATAGTCACTGATATTTGGCTCAAGAATAAACTGTCTTATTCCTTTTTGAGGTAAAAATTGTATATTTTTTCATTAACATTATTATATGCTATGACACAAATAAAAGTCTAGGAGCATATGTTAAGTAACAGGAGGACAAATATTATATTATTTTACTTAGACAAACATTTAAGTAGTCCAAATCATTGAAGCTAAAAGTATAACAGTGGTAAGTTATCCTAAGTTATTGGAGCTGGAAAGGGAAACTGAGTCATGGAAGATAAGAAGCCTACAAGCCTGGTACACAACATCAAGCTAAAATCTGCAATAGTGCTTTAGATACTTAAATTTTTCTTAGGAAGGAAAATTCAATGTAATCTTTAAACATAATACAAAAAGAATGGGAAAGAAAGACAGAAACATTTAAAATGCTTTTAGCTTAAACTAAAAAGTTACTTTATAAAAAAGTTAGAAAAGAATTCACATTAGAATAAAAAAGATGACAGATAGGAAAAGACTCATAGTCACTGAAATAGATGAAAAACTACATTAAAGATTATTAAAGTTACTAAGTAGTAGAGTCTTAAGCTCTAACACTTAACCACAGAAGAGAGTGTGAGACTTAAGAGTAGGCCCAATGCCCAGAATCCATTTGTAGCCATCCCTTTAAAAAGCCTTGTAAATTTGACTTTATTTTAGATTTACAGAAAAATGGAGAGTAACATGTCTTTATTCTCCATATCTAGTTTCTGACATTTTTGATCTTACATTAGTATGTTATATTCATTATAATTAATAAATTACTGTTGTTACATTATTAACAGGAATACATTGTTTATTTAGATTTCCTAAGTTGCTACCTAATGTTATTTTTCTGTTTAAGATATCATCTAGATTACTGAATTTCTTCCAGTTATCATGTAACTTTAAGCTCCTTTTAACAATTTTTTATTTTTTTTATTTATTTATTTTTTTATGGAAAAAAACGATTTATTGGCATTTACGGTTCCAGAGGTTAGAGCCCATGATTATCATGGCAGACAAGCATAGCGATGAGCAGTATCCAAGAGTTTACATTGTGATATGGAAGATTGTCCTAATTTTTCATGATCTTGAAAATTTTCAGGATACTGGTCAGCTTTTTTAGTAGGATAACTCAATACTAGAATTTTTCTGCTGATTTTTTTTCTTTTTTAATGTTAGACTGCAGCAATGAATTATCGGGAAGAAAACTATACCAGAAGAGTTCAGCTTTGGTCACACTGTATCAATCAGAAATACTAATAGCATTGATTTATGACTGGTGATACTAGGTTTTATCATCTGACTGAGATAGTGTTGATCAGATTACTCCATTACTTTGCTTGTCTTCCTGATACTGAAAGATAAGGGTTCTTTGGAAAATCAGTTGTGTTGGAAGGTGTTTTTCTGGGACAAACACATGAAGGAGTATTTTCCTGAAGTGGACAAAGGTGAAAGACTAAGACTCGTGAAGGAATGTTTGATAGAAGCAGACACAGGAGAAAGGAGGTTCTGCTAAAGCAAGTATGTGAAAGGACACGAGATGAAGGATTCTTTGCTAACAACACCCATGTATTAGTCTGCCTTACATTGTGTAGTTGAGCTCTATCTGTTTGGACTCCATAGAGAGAAACGCACCAAAAAACTTGTGGAGATGTGCTGCAGTTTCGTGCCACTTCAGCATACTCAGGCTGATTGGCAGAGTGATGTCAGCTGAGACAGATGCTTGTGCTAAGGCAAGACCCATGGAGGACACGTGATATTTAGAGGGTATAAATAGGACTCCATGGACAGTGACAGAGACACCTTGGCTTGCTGGTACAGGGAGCTGTGCAGCACTTGTTGGTCTTGTGTCTTTTCTGATCTTCACTTCCCTGAGAGAGGCACTGTCAAGAACTTCTGACATTCTTCCCTGGTCCCTCCTATTGACTTATGTGGAGGCTGAGGCCTGGCTGTCTCTGCCAGGTAGTGCCACCATTGCTGATTCGTGTTTGCTATGCTGATTCAACCAACCTGGTGTATCTGTGAGGTGTTTGCAAACGGACTGAAGTGCTGCTGCAAACCTGTGAACTGAACTGCCCATTCCAGACAACACAGATAGGAGTTGCTCCAAAGAACCTTTCTAAACAGGCCCACTTCTATATCCTTTCTTTCTTTCTTCTTTTTTTTTGTTTTTTGTTTTTTTTTTTTTTGAGACAGGGTTTCTCTGTGTAGCCCTGGCTGTCCTGGTAAACTCACTCTGTAGACCAGGCTGGCCTCAAACTCAGAAATTCACCTGCCTCTGCCTCCCAAGTGCTGGGATTAAAGGCGTGTGCCACCACTGCCCGGCCCTTTCTTTTCCACTACCTCTGGTGGGTAAAAGGGAAGTTAAAGCATTTAAGAACCATCATTAAAAATAGGTGTGGAAAAAATAAAGTTACATCTTCCTTTCCATATTGTACTCTTGTGAAACAAATCAACACAAGCTGCTTACAACTAAGCATCGGAGAATTATGTTCCTAAGATTTATTTCTTTTCTACTTCCTCAGTTTTTTAATTCTTAGCACCTGTACACAGACAGGGATATTCTATATTTTAAATCACTATTCAAAGTTAATTTGTTTAGCTTATTGCAGAGATTGTTCTAGCTTCAATTATTGGACTTCTTCAGTCCCTGTGTTTTTCATACAAAAAGATGTACAAGGCTAATAATCTTGTATATTCCCTGCCTGAGTAATAGGTGCAGCCATTTATTTTTCCAAAACTCTTGTTACATTTAGTAGAGAATGGTATTAGAAGTAATCCATCCTGAGCAAGACGAA